CGAGCCCCGGGTGTCAAAATTAGCACGTAGTGAGCAAATGCAGAGTGATCGTTATTACATTGGAGCTATAGCACGTAAAAAAACATGAAACATTAATTACCTTGAGGCTGCATATAAGAGGGAAGTGGAGGTTCGAAGCGATGAAAATTCTTGGACAAGACACGGTGCAAGACTACTTTAGGTGAGTGAACCAAGGTACATGTAAACTGGTAGCGTAACTTCTGTAGAAGCCCGTGGATCCAATAGGGGGATATCAAAGTGGCGCGTCGTCTGCTACTGTACTTCCGGTTCGAGGCCTATACATGCGCTGCTTCAATGTATACCTGCTGCGCTGTGTAATCGGGTGGTAACACGTGCAATTCTGTTATGCTTTTGCTGTCACTTGTTTGATCATTGTGTTCTTCAATTCCTTTTTTTTTTGTGTGTGTGTGTGTGTGTGTGTGAATGAATACATGTTATTTCGCGCATTTCAGGGAACGAAGCGAGACGTGGACATGGGCAAAAACGAGGAACGCTCAGAGATGGGTTCAGAGCACAGCGTCCGGTTATGCTTTAAACATGCAGTGATATGTGCAGAATCACCTCGATTTAGTATTTTCGAGCGCATACACTTATCGATACCACTTCAAAATTACCCACACATATGTTCACATACGTACGATGTCTACATATGTACGCGTACTCTGCGCGATCAAGTATGCCGATATAGTATATTTCTATTGTATAATCTGCATCGCTAACTTTCTGTCAAATTGATTGACACAGGTGTGTGCGTAAAAGCCCGCAGAACAATACGCCCACTCAAATAACGGTATCGTGCGACGTAGAACTATCGAAGTCGATTTTGAAGCAACGAGTAGCATGGTATGGCGTCTCTGTTATGTCAAACTTGCAAGCGTGTAGTGCCGATAGATCATGTTGTATTCCGACACATAACCTTAAAGGCTATCTTGCACAACTGCATGCTGAGTGCAGACAACTTTGCATGCATTGAAAAAGATTGTTCGAGCCTATGACGGACGACACCTCATTTGAAGAGATATTAGAGAGTTTTAGTACTGCGAAATGGTGCTACGTACGCATCACGCAAGCGCCTTGCGTTACGTGGCGTCGTTGGCCACTAATCGGCTTTTAGTACGCCGTACTACCCGCGTACGTAACGAGCGTGAAGCGTGTTGCGTCATCTGGTATATTAAAATAGAAGCACGTGTTGTTGACAGCCAATGTGAGCCAATCCAAGTGTTATAGCCAGATTATGACCATATTTTAAGCCACAGAGCCGGTCGGTGCTTGCCTTCGATGCCGCCATTTTGCAAAACGAAGTCTCGCGCTGTCGCGAACTTGTTCGAGCGCGGCTCGATCACCTCATACGTACGTACGCACGCATCTCATGCGTGCGTACGTAGCGGCTGCGTACGTAATGAGATACGTGCGCGTTGCGGTCTCCGCATGCGCACTACGCAGAACGTGGCGTTCTTACGTACGCAACGCCGCCACGTACGCAGCGTACGCAGTACTAAAACTCTCTATTTAAAGGCGCAAAAAAAAAAAAATAAGCCAGAGAACTACGAGCACGTTTTGTTTATAGCGTTCGAAACACATTACTACGGCCGTTCGCTATATCGAGCCCGGAATGATATCTTTGCAACCCAAAAAATTGGCAGATCCCACGTATAGTGGCAATCGATAATATGCGAAGCACGAATGAGAAATGTTGATATGTCACTTTAAAATCAGCACAACGTTGCGAGGTGAAGGTAAATGATGCCGTACGTGGCTTCCGTGTCAGGATTGTCATGTTTGGATGTGTCGTTTACCTTAGTAATCTATACACGTCACGTGATACCAAATTTAGTACATGTGCAGCTAGCGAAACGGCCGCGAGCACGCTATGAGCACGGTATCTTATAATGTTCTTACATGGCATGCTTGTCAGGATTGTCATGTTTGCACCAGTCATATATATTTTGTCATCCATTGACGTCATGTAACACCAAATTCGGTATATGTGGAGCTATCAAAACGGCCGCAAGTGCATCATGAAGGGCCCAATATACTCCAATGTAGCATTGACGCGCGCGCACGCTGGGCACAGTGACGCTACGTTAGCAAAACGCGAGCACTCTATAGTCTGACGCCAGGCGCGACCGACGTCCGTCAACGCGGCCCGACGGCAACCGGCCAGATACGGGACATGCTGCATTTCGCACCGATACGCTACCCAGACAACACTGCGTCTCCCTTTTTCGCGAGGGAGGGACGCCGGACGCGCTGAAATGCGCATGCGTCAAAGCAACGCAGTGCGGCGCGCGCCTGCGAATATACGGGAGGACCGGCGACTGGCGTGGCAACGCCGGCGTGACGCGACGAAATGAACGCCGGCGAGCACACGCACCGCGTCATGTCGAAATGTATTGGCGCCTTGACTGTGGCATGTAGTCATGTTCTCACATGACACACATGTCATGATTATCACGTTTAAACCAGTCTCGTACCTTTGTCATCCATTGGCGTCACGTAATACCAAATCTGGCATATGTGAAGCTAGCGAAACGGCTATGAGTGCATCATCAGTCATGTAGTCATGTTGTTACATGACACGCATGTCATGATTATCATGTCTGGATGTGTCATCTACCTATGTCGTCTGTTCGCGTCGCGTAATACCGAGTTTGGTACATGTGAAGCCAGCGAAACGGCCGCGAGCGCATTATGAGCGAAGCATGTAGTCATGTCGTTACATGACACGCATATCATGTTTATCATGTTTCCACCAGTATCATACTTTCGTCATCCATTCACGTTGCGTAATACCAAATTCGCTATAAGTAAAGCTAGCGAAACGACTGCTAGTGCATCACGAGCGTGGCATGTAGTCATGTTGTTACATGACACGCATCTCACGATTATCATGTTTGCACCAGTCACATACCTTCGCCATCCATTCACGTAGTGTAATACCAAATGTGGTATATGTGACGCTAGCGAAACGGCTGTGAGCGCATCATTTGCGTGGCATGTATTCATGTTGTTACATGACACGCATGTCATGATTTTATTGTTGGAGTCTGTCGCTTGTGTTCGTCATGCAATCATGCCATACCATACCAGTTTTGCAACATGCCATGTGAACAAAACCACCGCAAGAGCTGCGGACCATGAAATGTAAATCTTGACATTCATGACATCTATGTTATGATTTTCATGTTATGATCTTCATGTTATGACTAGTTATGACATGTTATGACTAGTCATGTTATGCCATACCAATTTTGATATCGATACCATTATCGAAACGGAGAGCTAAAAGTCGTAGGCGGCCAGATAGATAGATAGATAGATAGATAGATAGATAGATAGATAGATAGATAGATAGATAGATAGATAGATAGATAGATAGATAGATAGATAGATAGATAGATAGATAGATAGATAGATAGATAGATAGATAGATAGATAGATAGATAGATAGATAGATAGATAGATAGATAGATAGATAGATATGCCCAGAGTTGACAAATTTCCTCCAGTCAGCCAAGAAATGTTTCGTGTTTAAAAAAGCGCAAGCATTTGCGCACTGATAGATCGGCGGTAGCAGCTGTCGCTACGTGAAAGCACACCCACTCCCACGGCATGCGAAGCAGGCATAGACACTCCAGCATGGCGCACGGCATATGCATACCTTGGCAGGTCGTCAACCAGCGCGGAAAACAACGAGTGATGATTGGAAGTGCGTCAACGGCGCCGTATGGAACAGACACCTAGCCTCGCAGTCACAGCTCTGTTTCCGTTCCTTTATTTATTTATTTTTATTTCTCTTGCATTTGCGCATATACTTCGTCATAAAGATTGCGCCAAATAATGTCAACGCAGACAGCCGATTTCCTTGGTGATGTTGACAGGTCGACCTATGCTTCTCATTGTCATGATAACTAAAAGATATGCCGACTTGCTATGAAAGCTTGGAGGTAGGATTCGTGAATGCCTCAAAATTGTTTAATTAGCATTTTTTCTAAGCAAGCGACCTACCATGTCAGCTGAGTATATAAAAGGTCGGATGATTCGCGTTGCCTTACTTGTCACACCGATACTCTGGGCGACTACTGCTGACTAGCCGAGTTGGTGCATGATAAAATTATATTGCGTTAGCGCAGCTCAGTTTGAGCATGAAGGAAAGATACTATACAGTCAAGAAGGGAAGAAAAAAAACAGACGACAGCGTGAGCGCTAACTACCAACTTTTCTATATCGCGTACCCTTACAACACATTATATAGCTCATTCCATGTGACGCAACACAGATGAAAAAAAAAAAACCGCACACGTGTGGCACAGCACACTACCAAGTAGTGCTAGTGACGTCACGCTGTAAAGATCTATGTATAAAGCAAATGCATTCCTGCAGTGTACCGTCTTGGGTGATTAACAGACACAAAAACGCGTCTTTAAACACGTCTCTTCGAGCAAGACAGCCGCCGAACAGCCAAATCTGTGACCGGCCTCGCGAGACTCGCCGTCCATACAGCGTCATCTCATGTATGGCGCCTCATTCACAAGCATTTCCCAACAACCTAGGGTGTAGCGAGATCAACTTTTCTTGCTGGGGCAATGTGCTCCGTATTGTCAGCATTCGCTCTCGTTGATCCCATGTTTAGCTTAACTGCGAGTAGTATGAGTAGACTATACAATACTGGTATTCTTGAAGACCGACGGTACCTTTAGGAAACATTCTCTCTGAGGCGCTTCTTATTAGAAGGCGCTCAGTGATGAGAAGCCCGTACAGGGACGTGCGTGACGTCCGTGAGATCTCACTACCCATTTCTTCCTTCCGCACGTGTGCTTCGCGCCAGCATGTACGGTGAGATTGCAGGCAGAGCACTCCTAGGGAGCAGGTGTTCGGTTCTCGAACTGTGGCGCCCTTGCGAGCGTGCGCGCGCTTTCTGCCGGCGGCGCTGGCGTGCTCGCATCGGCAGCTGACGACGGCGCGTGTTGCTTTCGCAGGCGGAGAGCGCGAACCCGCATCGGCAGACCCGAGGCGGCGAGCAGCGCAGCGCCCTTGGAGGAGGAGAGCAGCCCGCGTATCGCGAGGCGGGGACCTGCGGACAGACCTCTGCGGCCGGCGGTGCAGCCGAGTGGCGTGGCCGACCCCCGTTGAGCGGGTGGCGGCCATGCCCCTGACGCCCTGCGGCGGCAGCGAGTGGCCCTGCTGCCGGCTGCTGCGGCAGCAGCGACGACGAGGCGAGGCGCACGCACAGGGGCCCGTGCGGCGGCGGCCATGAGCAACGGCAGCAGTACGGCTAACCTGAGCTGGCTGGACAGCGTGGCGGCGCTGAACGCGACGCTCGACGGCAATGGCTCGGCGGCGGCAGACGACGAGACCGGTGGCTGGCCTCCTGCGGTCGAGGACCCGTGGGACGGGTCGCCCTACCCTAGCCGCTACTCAAAGCTGAGCTTTGTGGCGACCGCGTTCGTGGTCACCTGCATCATGATCCTCATCGTGGTGGGCAACATGCTGGTGTGCATCGCGATCGCCACCGAGAAGACGCTCAAGACGATCCAGAACTGGTTCATCGCCTCCCTGGCAGTGTCCGACTTCCTCATCGGGCTAATCATCATGCCGTTCTCGCTCGCCAAGGAGCTGATAGGCTACTGGATCTTCGGCGCGCTTTGGTGCTGACGTGCATGCTGCACTGGACGTGTTAATATGCACCGCCTCCATCAATAACTTGTGCCTCATCAGCCTGGACCGGTACTGGTCTGTCACGCACGCCGTCGAGTACCTCAAGAAGCGCACCGCCTCGCGTGCCATGGCCATGATCTGCTTCGTGTGGCTCCTGTCGGCACTCATCTCGCTGCCTCCGCTCGTCGGCTGGAAGAAGTCCCAGCAGGCCTCCGATTACCCCCAGTGTTCTGTTTCTGAGGACGTCGGTTATGTGTTGTACTCGGCCCTTGGGTCGTTTTATGTTCCCGCGGTCGTCATGGTGTTTGTGTACATCCGGATATTCCTGGCGGCCCGCTCGCGCGCGCGCCGGCACGTCAAGAAGCAGGCCCGGCACGTACCAGAGCTCACGAACGATCCGGTGCGTGATAAGTCGACGACGACAACGACGACGTGCACCAGCTTCAGCAACCCGAGCCCACCGGACTCCTCGGCGGCGGCGCACAAGATGAACGGCGGCGGCGGCGGCGGCGGTGGTGGCGGCGGCGGAGCGCAGCGCAGGGGCCTCCTGCCCAGCGCAGCGCCGCAGATCATCATCGAAACTCCCGAAGAGCCGAGCTCGGTGCCGCCGTCACCTCCATTGCCGCCCCGCCGCCAGGAGGGCCTCGGCGGGCTCAGGGCCCCGGAGGTCGGCCTCCGAGCCGACGACTCCGAGGCGGCGCCGCTGCAGGGCTCGCACGACGCGCCGGGCTTGCTGAGCGCGCCGCAGTCGCGGATCGCGCGCTCCCCTTACGGCTCCACGCTGTCGCTCAATGAGCGCGACGAGGACAGCGAGCTGTGCGAGTCTTCCAACGCGGCCGGAGGAGAATCCTCGGGTGGCAGCGGCGGCGGCACCAGCAAAAAGGGCAGCCGCCCCACGCCCACATCCAAGCGGCGACCGGTGCCACCTCAGGGACTGACATACGCCGTGGCGCGCCACAGTCCATCGGACGCCGAGCGCCACAAGCGCAAGCTGGCCAAGGCCCGCGAGCGCCGCGCCACCATGATTCTGGGCTTGATCATGGCCGCATTCATCCTGGCTTGGCTGCCCTTCTTCGTCCTCTACGTGCTGGGCGCGCTCTGCAAGCGCTGCGACATCAGCGGCACGGTGTTTGCGGTCGCCTTCTGGCTCGGCTACTGTAACTCGGCCGTCAACCCTATCATCTACACCATCTTCAACCGAGACTTCCGCAAGGCCTTCCGCAAAATCCTCTTCAAGTGATCCTGCGCCGCCGCTGCCGCCATCCGGCCCGGCGCTGCTGTCTTCCACGGCTGCCGCCTGGCCTGCCACTGCCGCCGGCGCGGCGCAGCCTCGCCCGTCGAAGGATCCCCGCCGCTAAAAGAAAAAAAAAAAAAAATCCCGCTGAGCCCGCCGCTCCTAATCCTCGTTGTTTACTATTTGGGAGCCATGAACCGAGAGAAGGCGCTCCGTGCGTGCTCGCCTAACGGAGTTCCGCCTTCCGCGCGCGCCCAGGGACCTGTCCACGCCTGTCTGTGGCCTGTGCGTCTCGCGCATCGACAGTCCAGCCGCGCCGCCACCACCACACGCGCACGTACCGCCCATCTCCCGGCGTGAAACAACAACACCGTGTGCTGCTGTGCCGTGCTGTGCTCCGCGCTGCGCACACATGCCACGACCGCACAACTGTGTATACATGTTTGTTAACTACCGTAGCATTGCGCTCTCTCTCTCTTTCTGATCCACACAAAACCCACGTCCTGTATAAGCCGTGGTGACGCCGCCATTCAACTCGCCGTATCTACTTCTTGGACGGTCACACTCGAGTAGGTGTCGTTCCGAGACCTGACGAGGGACGATATCCACCGCTAACTCCCGCAGCCTTTTCTTTTTTTTTTTTCAAGGGTGTCGCGCACCGGCGCTGCGCCTGAGGCCTAGCAACACGCACAATACACACGCAGACAACAAAAAAAAATGAATTTCGCAGCTACTGTTGTTGTCCTGGATGATATGCATCCCGGTTGTTGTATGTGAAATGTCTGTAGCTTCGAGGCTCGTTACCTGCTCGATAAAGTAGCAAAGTATCAGGGGCAACTTTACTTCCTCCTAGAGTACACCAGCAGGCAGATGAAACGACGTTGAGCTAACGGGTAAACCTGACAGCAAAATTTGTTGCCCTGTAATGTGTGTTCATGGAGACGTTGCACTAGTCAGGTGCGTAACATCTTCGGGCATCGTTGTTTAAAAGAATGTATGTGAGTATGCAGCTCAGAATTGGCATTCTACATTTGTATTTTTTTTTTCGATGTCAATATATTCACAGCTTCTTTTTGTCTGGCTGCCGGGGTACAGTGTGTTGTCTGGTGTCGAGTGCTTTTAACATTCACGTTCGTAGTCTTTCGTTGACGCATTGTGGGCTTCTCGAGGTGTCGCCAATGAAGCACTAGAAGCGGTTGAAGGACGTTCTCAACACTAGATTATGCAAGGCAAGCTTTTAGACAAAGCCTACATAGACACGAAGGGCTTTTGGGATTACTAACTCTTACATACATACATACATACATACATACATACATACATACATACATACATACATACATACATACATACATACATACATACATACATACATACATACATACATACATACATACATACATACATACATACATACATACATACATACATACATACATACATACATGCGTACGTACATACATACATACATGCGTACGTACGTACATACATACATGCGTACGTACGTACGTACGTACTGAAGGTACGATCTCGTGCGCTGGTATATACATAGGTTATACAGCGACCGAGGTGTACATATTGCTACCTTGTGCGATAAATGTTATGCTGCCCGAAACATTTACAAACGTGATCTTTTAGAAGAAAGAGAGAGCTTCCCGAAGTCTGAACTTTGTAATAACTTTTCGCAATGGCGTCATCTACGTTTTTGTTTTGTTTTTTTTCTCCTCCGATCGCGGGGCCACTCAAGCGCCCCACTTTCCCCCACTCTCTGAAGGCACACACAATTACACAATTATAAACACCAAAGTTGCACCCTTTGCCATGTCCTCACACAATGAAGTCGGCAGACTACAATGCATGCGTCCCAGAGCGATCAAATGCAGAAACAACTCAAACAAAAGAATGCATCTCCTCTTCTCCTCTCCTTTACTCATTCACCATTACGCGAAATTAATTGTTTAGGCATTTCCTATTTATTTCTCGTGCGTTTTTCTTTATTTGTCATTTCCGTTTTACTCGTACCACTGCGGCAAGCAGTACTAGTCATTAAAAACGCATCTTCAGCGACCGTATGTACAACGTTAGATGTGTGGGGTTTTTTTCGTCTTTTTTTTTTTCATAAGAACGCTGATCGAAAGCAGACGTTCCGGTACAACACAACGTTTTGAAAGTGCGGTGTTGCTCGCAGCTTAGACTGACGCAATTGTGTTTCTGGCAACGAGCTCCTATTTGTTAAAGAAAGCGGGAAAATAACAGGATGACTGTAACGGTTCGCTGTTAGCCCCGGTACATATAGTTAAACAGGAACAAAATCAATGTATTATCACCTACTTTTCAGCGCAAACAGAGGCCTCTTCAACTCACAGTGTTGAAATCTTAGATTACTGTTTAGATGAGCGGCTCTGCTTTAGCGAGCGCACGCTTTTCCTAGAAAACCGTCTCGTTAATGGGAAGAAAGAATTCTGTTCACCCATTTCCGGATGACTTCAAGTGATTTCTTTTATCTTACAAATGATTTAGCGTAAAGCTAGCTTTTCTGCGAAGCAGTGCAGCAACACCGCATCACTGAAAAGCTAGCTTTGGAGCTGAGCAATATGTATGCTGTACTCCCTTTTTTTTTTTTGTCCAAATAATTATCACTTTCATTATGCACACGTACAGTTAATGTAACAGCTATCACTAAAGAGAAAGTGCTCTCAGCTAATGTAACAGTCTATTGCCGACTGTTCGATTAGCTGAGAGCACTTTCTTTTTTAGTGATAATCATTAACCCCTGTGGTGGCACTAAAAGAGACAGTTATTTTAGACAATAAAGTTGAACGAATGTAACATCTAATACAAGTACTTGCGTTCCGACAGATGCGGAAACGATCGAAGTTAGACGCAGAGAAAGTCTTGTCTGTTCATTGCGAGAATTTTTTTGGTAAACTAATGTTGTCCGGAACCGGCAAGGGAATGTCAGCCTATACGATGGTGCATGTTGTGAAAGTATGGGATAACTATTTCTGTTGGCTTGAAACGTGACCCTGCGACAGCTATTTGCTTCGTCACAAAGGAAACCAACCATTTGCATTCAGGGGTCACCCGTTCACAAGCATTCAGCTTTAATTTTAAAAGGAAAGAAAGTGCTATGATTGCGAGACGAAATTATTGGATGTTGCGGTGACATGTGGTCCAACAAGGACGCGACTAATGTATTCGATGTTCTGAAAGCATGCCGTCGCTGCTATGTTTTCCTGGTATTTTTTTTCTTCTCGTGTTCCCTTTCATTAGTAAACCTAGCCAATGCTGTTACTGTCACTTTCATAAAATTATCTGATCAGAACTTTATTTTTTCAGTGTTTTTATTCTTGCTATTGTATTTCATCTGCTAGTCTGTAGGTACAACTATAATTGTTATGAAAAAGAGTCCGAGCCATATAAAAACTTTATATTGGCCTTCTCTAGCGGAGATTTATTTGTCGGGTTAGCTAACGTGTAAACACGTGCACTCTATCAATAGGGGTCGTCTCACGTCATGCTGTGAAGGATTAAACAGAATAATAAACTGGCCGAGTGATATAAAGCACAATATTTAGGTATAACAATGAGACACCTATATTATTATTATTATTATTATTATTATTATTATTATTATTATTATTATTATTATATTATTATTATTATACGAAGCTAAAATTTGCAAGCGTTTGCAAAGCAGCATGGCTAGAAGAGATCTCCACCTTCAATGACTGATGTGTTCCGCCCCAAAAAAATAAACAAAACGCAACAGAGCGTGCCTGGTCATGCCCGTTATAGTCTTTGTGTTTCATTTATATTTAAACAAAACTCTCCAGCACGATACGATAACAACTAGGGGGTGCGTAATTAGCGGCAACGTAACTAATTACTCGGACCGATAAGGCGACGCGACTCGGTGAAGTGAAACGTCAAGCTAAACGCCTTGCCCACCTTGACAAACGACTTAAGTCATTAACGCGGGTAGTCTGCAACGGCTCTTTGAGTTGGGTCGTGTAAGTATTGCGGCATCGCTTCAGCCACACCATCTTCAAGCTCAATGTGGGCGGGGCAGTTTCATCTTGACGGAGTGTGCATATAGGAGAGAGCAGCGAATAGACGGCCTCCTCGCGACTCGCCCCGCTCCTGATGTCTCGACGTAGTGCTGAGGTCTAATTCAGTGGGCTTCAGTGGGAGCGAGTTAGGAACGCCGGGAAGGAGTAAAATTTCACCCCAACCCGTCATAATGGAGTAGCCTGCGCACGCTTATGCTTGGTGACGCACCTGCAGAAGTTTGTAAAACGTACCATTGTGCCGCAAACAAGGCTTCATGCGTACTGTGCATATAGAAATGTTGGAAAGGTTCGATAGGAAAGTGATAGCCTATCAGGCAGCAAACTGTTTGAATGATGTGAAAAAACAAAGACCTCGTTTACCGTCCCGCAAGCAGTTATGCGTCTTATGGCTCGTGCAGCAAGTTTCACACGGTGTCTTGCTGACTACACGTGCGCAGCTATTTCGGTAGGTGAACCGTGTGAACTTCTCTTTCTCTTGTCGCACGAGCAAAGCGAATGAAGCTTGCCACTTTGAGAGCCCACTATGCGAAAAATTTCTGTTCCCGGCGTTTGGTAACTTGCGTACACCTTCAAACTCTATAGACGTTAAGCTTCGTTCTTACTTTTTTTAGTTTGTTGCTTGAAACAAGTCGTTCATTAATTTGAACGGTATAAAAGAAGATTCCTCTGTCGTTACTGTTTTCTTCTGTTCCATCTGTTTTGCTGTGGAGAGGAAGTCCATACTACCTCGGCTACTCCATATCAATAAGCGAAAAAAAAAGGTGTTACTGAATGGTACCCAAAATGAACAATCAGCAAAAAAAAACATGATAGCACACAGAAATCAGTTGAATTAACATGCCAATGCACAGTTGATCACCTGTCTAAGTCATCCCGTTTATTTTATTTTTTTGTAATTCAGATTGTCAATACCCCAGTCTTTATTACTTTGTACGCTACGTAAAGCCTACGAGTTCAAGAAACGTGCTTGGCATGGATAGTTGAATTATGTTCATCTGCAAACAATGCACACAGAAGGGAACACGACGAAGAACCGACG